GAAAAATCATATTCATTAAAAATAATAAGATATATTTCAGGTGAAAACATTTTTATTAAATATTTAAAATTTTATCTGGTTTATTAAACTAGATAGAGTAAGATTTTGGCCTCTGGAGCCGGCGGGCTCTTCGCTGGAACTCCCAATTTCCTACGGACTATTGAGGATTAGATATATATTAATAGCTCTTTGTTCTTACGTGATATACTCTACGGTCCCAGCCTCGAGTAAATCGTTGTAGTGAACGCAGAGTTTATTATTTAATTAAAATAATCTTTTATTGATCTTTTCTTTAAAGATTTAGAAATTTTAAATTCTTTTACATTCCCTTTCTTTGATCCTAAATATGCTAATCTATCTGCCTGCTCATTTCCATATACCCCACTATGACCCTTTACATGTTCAATTCTAACTTTTCCTTTTCTTTCTTTGATCAAATCGTTCATTCTAGTTACTAAATCTATATTTTTTTTGGATATTCATTATTATGACAAGTAATAACATATATGCTATCTGTATAAATTATTAGATCTTTTGTTTTATCACAAATCTCTAAAGTACGAATTACAGCATATAATTCTACACAATTATTTGTTTGTTTTATGGTAATCGTTCACTTTTGTTTCTTGAATCATTGTCATTAAAAAAAACTCTAATACTTGCAATCGCTTCTGGTTTTCCATTATTCTTACAATATCCATCTGTCCAAATTTCTATTTTATTGTTTTTATCAATATCAGGACCAAGAATATATTCCTCAGCTTGCTGCCTTGTTTCAAATGATTTAAACAAAGCACCAGGACTTTTTTAATTTGTTCTTCACAATCTTTATAATTCATATAAATTCCAGGATTTCTACCTTTTCTAACAGCATAATACCTTAATTTAAGGACTTTTGGCATCTGGATTTATAACATAAATAATTCAAAGTAAATGAATCACAATTATGAATACCAGTTATTAACCAGTTCGTGAGGTTGCCAAGTTTAGCGAGAAATGAGAGTTAGTATAAAATATATAAAAAGCGAATGACCAAAAATTATATAAGTTGGAAGCTTCTCTCACTTTTTTGATAATTTATTGAATTAAAAATCTGTCTGGTTTTAGACAGAGATGAAGAAGAAAACTTGGTCTTTATATAATTATTTAGAGCTAAGCCACAATTT